GTGAGGGGTGAGGTTGAGCCTTTTTTTCATTCTCACGAGAGGTGATACAGGCTAGCAGTGGCCCTGTCTGGTTCATTTACTACAGCTGTGGTACAGTATTCCATTGTGTGATTATACTACAGTTCTGCTGCTGGACATGTAATACTGCTCTATGTTTCGCTAGGGAAAATACTTCATTGAATATTCTTGGACCTGTGTCTCAGTACATGCCTTCAAGATATTCCCTAGGGAATACCTAAGCGTGGAATTGATTAGAGTGCATATACCAAATTGCTTAACAAAGTGGTTTTACCAGTTTACGCTGTCACTGGCAGTGTATTAGTGTTCTTGTTGCTCCCTGCATATCCTTGTTATTATTGTCAGACTTTTCGATAATCTGGTGGGTTTTTAAAAGGAATTTCATTGTGGTTTCAGTTAGCAAAATAGAACCTCTTTTCATGTCTTTGTTGGCTATTCATATTACCTGCTCTGAAAATTGTTTCTTCATATCCTTTGCTTATGTTTTTGAAGGGTTGTCTTCAAATGATTTCTAAGAGTTACTTATTTTGTATTTTTGTGGGTTACCTATCTCTTCATGGCTTATCTTTTCATTTTAGGGCATTTGACATAGGTTAAAATTTGGATGTTAATTGAATCTTTTGATATTTTCCTTTATATTTTGTGTTTTCTGTCTTGTTTGATTTGTAATGACATCTCTGTATCAAGTTTTTGTAGATTCATTAGGTGCTAATATTGTTTAATTCTGTATACAATTAATTTTTATTCTCATTATATCTTTTCCATATTTAGTTCAGTACCTTTAGGTTTTTAATTCTTTTTCTTTGTTCATTTGTTCAACCATTCAGTGCCTGTTACATGCCAGACACACTACTAGACACTGAGATACGACTATCAATAAAACAAGTCACTGTCTCATGGCGCTACATTTCTAGTGGCGGAAGGACACATAATAAACACTGTCTAGTAAGTTGGTATGTCCAAAGATGACTAAGTACTGTGTAGATATGCTTATGAAGGAGTATGTATACAGGGAATGTGCTGGAGCAGCATGCTATTTTACAGAGAGGTCAGGGAAGGCCTCATTGGTAAGAAACCTTAGAGGATGGGAGGGAGGGAATAAGCCAAATGGCTGCTAGGGAGGGACAGGCAAAGGACAAGTGTAAGGCCCTCAGGTGGAGCATGCTTGACTTATAAGCAGTTTAAACCTACTTAGTTTATAGTCTGGGGTTATTCAATTTTCTAAAATATGTGAGGGTGAAGCCTCCTTTTTTATTTTCTGCTGATTCTCTCTCATGAATTTTCATGTTTACTAATTTTGAATTATAAATTCATCTTCAGCAGGGGTTTAACAGTACAGTGAGATTCTGGAATGGTTTTGTTTCTTTCTTCCAGGCACTCAGGTCCTGGCTTTAAATGGCTGATGTACATTTAGACATCAAACTAGCATGTGGCACAGACCTATGATTGCAAATTTCCATGGTAGTCATTTTCCCCATCTAGATCCCAGACTTGGCCATTCAAGCCTCCTTGTTGTCTCTGTGTGTGGTGGTGGTGGGTGGTGGGCAGTGAAGGGTGGAGTGGGTGCATTTTTTCCTCATCCAATCTTTTCCTGGGGTTGTAGCCTTGTGACAGTCATCCTGGTTTTGTGCAGGGGCTTCAGATCTAGTTGTGTGTTTTTGCACAAGTCAAAGGCCTTAATTCCAGGATTGCAGAGACACTCAGGCCATCCCTCAAAACTAACAAAACTGGGCTTTTGCTGTAGCAGAGCACATGCTTTCCACTTTGGGTTTTAGCTTCTAATTTCTAGCTCTTCGGATTTCCTTCTCTTGGGAGCTCAGCTTTACATGTAAAGGATGTTTGTTATATTTTATCTAACATTTCCAAGGTATTCGAAGCAGAAGGGTTTCAGATTATCACATACAGCCTTAAGTTAGAGTCTGCTTTACTCCCTTCACTACAACATTTATTGCCTTGGGAAGTGCTGGTCAATTGACTAACAAGGGATTTGGTTTAGCAGAAATTCCAGGATGTTCCTGGAACTTGAGAGCAAATATCTTTAGTTTCAAAGCCCCCTATAGACTTCCCTTTATTGTTATTGGTGGTTGGGGGATAGGGGGACTTAGAGATGGTTCTTTTAGTAATGGATTATCTGCACTATTTTTATAACGTATGTAAATGTTCCTCCAGTACTTTACCAAATTCTTTTTAGTCTGTATTTATGTAAACCTAATGGGATATACTGATAAATTAAATATACCTAGCCATTCTTATCTGCATTCTTGTATGTAAATGATGCTTGGTCATCTTCTTAGTACATTTGAGTATTCCCTTTGCTAATATTTGGAGTAAAAATTGCTATAATGAATTCTGATTATAGGTAACTCATCTTTTTCTGTGATTAGAAATTTATGAAAGAATTATTTATAATTTAAGTTTGAAGAATAAATATGCTTCAGGTTCAAATAATCCTTTGGGGGTTCTGTATGAACAATTCCAATTTATTTCTCAGTTGTTATTAAAGCTGATTTTTTTTCTTATCTAACATCTAACAGTTTTTATATTAGTATTTCAAGAACCATGTCTAAATAAATTACTTAGAAAAGGAACTCTTTTTGGGGGGACTTTATTAAATCTGTGAAATTTTCTCTTAACTTGGCAGTATACTAAAGGTTTTCTTATGGAGCCCTTTTACTCTTTCTTACAAGTTACGTTATAGTACATTTGTTTATCAAAACTATTTCCATTTTTATTGTCAGACTGCTATTAACTTACAATAAAAAATACTTCTTAATGAAAAAATATTATAACTAAAATTGTACCTCATTAATTATGTTTTCTAAAAAGCTGTACTGCTTTTTCTTCCACTGTACTACTTATTTGATGACACGGATAATAATTTGCCACTAGAATTGCTTGTCATTTTATTCTTATGCTTTTGAAGCGATACTATTGAACATGTTTTCTTTTTTTTTTTTTTTTTGAGACAGAGTCTCACTGTGTTGCCCGGGCTAGAGTGCCGTGGCATCATCCTAGCTCACAGCAACCTCAAACTCCTGGGCTCAAGCGATCCTCCTGCCTCAGCCTCCCGAGTAGCTGGGACTACAGGCATGAGCCACCATGCCCGGCTAATTTTTTCTATATATTTTTAGTTGTCCAATTAATTTCTTTCTAATTTTAGTAGAGACGGGGTCTCGCTCTTGCTCAGGGTGGTTTCGAACTCCTGAGCTCAAACAATCCGCCCGCCTCGGCCTCCCAGAGAGCTAGGATTACAGGCGTGAGCCACCGCACCCGGCCTGAACATGTTTTCTAATTGTAAAATGTAAAAAGAGCATATTTTTTTAAAGTATAGAAACATTTAAAGGGAATACACATCCCAGAAATAAGATTTAGCAGTCATTTTTGGAGCATACAGTATCCAGCATTGGAATGATCAAACATTAATGTTCTGGGATATTTTTGGTATGTGGTTAACATTTTTCCTTGTCTTGAAATATTCTCAGAGAACATGGCATTTAGTACCTGGTGTGATATTCTAAATCTTATCCAATTTATTATAAATTACTTACCTTCTTGGACTTGTTTGTACTTGAAGGGACAGAGTTTTATCTCCATTATATAATAATTTATCTCGGAATACTTAATATTAAATTGCTACTTTATAAGTTTTTGCCTAGTGTTTTAAAAAGTGCTCACAGTTACATATTTTTTAATATTTCCTTTTAATAGAGAATATAGTATTTTTACATGTGGTATTAACTGGTGCCATCTTATGTTTTGCTTTTTTATATGGGTTATTTAGAAATTAATACATTTTATATTTCTAAAAATTTTCATATTTCTGTGAAAATAAATTTTTAAGGCAGTCTATTTAAAACTACTAATTTCATTTTAAAAAGATGATTATTGGCCTTTTATGCATAACTAAGCAAAAGCAACTATTTAACTTTAGATTTCTACTTAAAGAAGAAAAGTTTAAATTTTTCACTTTCACGCTCTGATGTTATCCCAACAGTTATCCTCATCCACTACAACTACATTGTTTTATTTAAACTCTCTCTTTAATAACTGGTCATACTGTCATTTAGTAACATTTGTAGTCTTAAATTCTGTATGTCTTTTGCAATAGTTCTTAAAAGTGAAAATATGGAGGGAAAGGGTTTGATATAATAGCTTTGTTGGTAAATAAACCCAACTGAACATAACTACTTGAGTGTCTAATAGTTTTGTTCATAGATTATTTGAAGTAACCTCTTTTCTAGTCCTTAATGTGAACAATGACTTTCCACTGAGTTGTTTGCAGAATTGGCATATATTCTTGCCCATTACTGTTTTTTCATTATTTGTATCATCTTTCAGAAGTCTTTACTTGTATAAGTTGATACTGGTTACTGTTCTCTAGATCTATGTTCTCCAATTCTTTTTATATGGTATTAGGTGTTTTTAAGTTTGTTCTTTTTCAGACATCATATAGTCAATTCTGTAATGTGTTGAAGGGTGCTACGTCAGTGTAGCCTTTATTATTTGAAAAATGGATTAACTTTTTAAAATTTTAATTGTTTAAATTTGGCTTGTGACTTTCCATTTCAGGATTCTGAGTGTTCTCTGGTTTCTTACTGCCTTGTCTTTTTACACCTTAAAGATTTTTCATTGTTTCTAGACTTTTTGTTAGCTCATTCTTTGGGTTTATCTTCATCTGTTTCTGCTGAATATTATTAGTTTCAAACTGAAAATAATATTCTACATTTTAGTTGATGTGTGGACTCAATCTACATAACTGGGGGAAGTTCCATGATTCCAGCTAGTCTGGCATATGCCACTTAATTGGATGGTAATCCACCTAAATTGTCTCCTTTCAGTGTAAGGTTAAGAGTACATCTAAGTGACATGAAACATTCAGTGGGTCCCATACTGTAAAAATATTTGATAACAGTGACGATTTGGATAGGTTGGCTAATTCTCTGCCTTGATTTTACATCCCAGCAATGCTCTTCTCTCTTTAGCGGAAGAGAAAGCCAATACCCACCTCCTCCTGGGCATGTGCTTAGATGCCTGTGCTCGCTACCTTCTGTTCTCCAAGCAGCCATCACAGGCACAAAGGATGTATGAAAAAGCTCTGCAGATTTCTGAAGAAATACAAGGAGAAAGACACCCACAGGTAAGGGAGAAAACATTAGAAGAGGGACTATATAAAATAAAGCCTTCAAAATTGAAGGAGTGAAATGCCACAGTCATTGGGAAGAGAAGCAGCAGGTGGTGCTAGATTGAGGAGGAAGTCCTAGATCTTCCTCCTCATGCCCCAGTCTCTTCATTTTCTTACTGCCAGTCCCCCTTCCTCCAACTACTCGTTTCAAACAGAATTTGGGACTGCTGATCAATTACTGGGTCTGCCCAGAACTTTTTGCATGAGTCACAGTTATTCATTCAGCAGACCAACCTTTCTACACAGCAGGTCCAGCCAGGCTCCCTCGCACTTCTGTGGCTTCAGTGGGGACAGCACAGCATTTCAGAGTGGGGCCTGTAAACCCCCATGAGAACCTTATAAGGAACTGGTTAATACATGAATATCCTTATTTTCCTTGCCCCACAGTTAAAATGGCAGAAGGTGGGGAAGGAAGGAATGAAGGACTGCATTAAAAAACTTTTAAACTGCTGACATAGTATAGAATTTTAGCACAGCATGTAAAGCTTTATCTTGGAACACTAAACACAATAACTAAAATCATCTGTGTCTCTTCTCTGTCCAAGTCAGAGGTAAGGAGTGGATCACTTTGTCTATGAATACTTGCTTATCTGCAACATAGGACACAAAAATTTTAACTGAACGTATCCCAAAGCTGGGGTAGTAGTTGGGTAGGGAGTGTTTTGAAAGAAAAGGGAGTTTGAACTATGAATTATCTCCGGGAAACGGATTTATGACTTGTTACAGAGCCCCTTAATAGAGTATAATTGAGGAATTAAAAAAAAGGGCAAGCATGGAATTCAAATCACCAAGCACTAGAATCACGGGGTTTAAAGCATGGCTTCAGTAGGGAAGAAGGTATGGAAGCCTGCCTCTCATAGTCCCCAAATTTTAAAAACTCTTAGTAGGCATCTTCCTAAAACAGAGGATGTATTTCTTCTTTTTGACGTGCCTCGGGGTTAACAGCAGGAATGACAGGGGCAACTAAACCATAGGAGACTGGCTTCTCAGAATTGCTGAACCTTAAATGGGATCATACAGCTCCTTTTTGCTGTTATTTTTCATTTGGTGCTTCTAATTTGATAATTAGTTGATTAACAAATAATGTTCATCCTGTTCCCGAATTTCTAGATTTTTATCATTTTCCAGAGGATCACATTGACTACTGTACAGCTGTGAATAACAAATGCCCACAATTTGTTAAAGGCTGGTACCCCTCACCTTTATGGAATGCTAGGAAAGATGAAATAAATCTTCAGTGTATATTTCACAGTTTGATAAACTCTGTGTTAATATTCAGATGCGTTTTTATAGAAAAGCTGTCTTTTCTTGTTCTATATAGACCATTGTGCTGATGAGTGACCTGGCTACTACCCTGGATGCACAGGGCCACTTTGATGAGGCGTATATCTATATGCAAAGGGCATCAGAGCTGGCAAGACAGATAAACCATCCTGAGCTACACATGGTGCTCAGCAATCTAGCTGCAATTCTGATGCACAGAGGTGGGTAGCAACGGGAACTTGACTGACTCGCTTTAGGGAGGGATGCCACTGGGTTTATAATTTGTGAAATGGTGTGTAGGGAGGGCGAGGGGCACTGAGGAAACTCCTAAATCAAAAGGCTGGTTGAATAAGGGCAGAGAAGAATGTACATCAGGTTGCAGTACACTTGTGCGCAGTTCACACAACTTCTGTAGGCCTGCGCTAGCTGTCGAAGCACATCAAGCTAGAGAAAGCCTTGCAGTGACAGTACCTTCTTTCTTTAGTACTTTACAGATTTCTCAATGATGGTTTCACAATTACAATGTGTAATTGTGGAGCTGGTGTGATAGGGAGTATCAGTCTGACATGTTTCTGAATGTCAGCACACTAAGCCACATTGCCCAGGGCTTCACCTGTAATTTCAGGTCTGTTACACATACTGCCAGTAGTGAAGTCCTTGGCTAATCAAGGGCCTAAGGGTACAGTGGAGAGGACAGTTAGAAACCCACACCGCTCAGTGGGTTGCAGTTGTGCACCTCAGCCAGTACCAGCCTCTCGGTGCCAGCTTGTCAGCTGAGGTTGAAATGAGGCAGCACCAGTCTGCTGCTTCCTAAGCACACGGTAAATTAGACCTGTATCCTCATTAGTGCTTTCTCTTCAGAACCACTTTGAAAACATGTTTTCTTCTTATTGTCCCTTCTCTCTGGGTTATTTTAGAACGATATACACAAGCAAAAGAGATCTACCAGGAAGCACTGAAGCATGCAGAGCTGAAAAGAGATGAGATTTCTATACAACACATCAGGGAAGAGTTGGCTGAGCTGTCAAGAAAAAGTACACCTTTGACTTAATTTTATCAAGCTCTGAATCCATTCTTATTGTAGGGAGAATAATTTCTAGTAACCCAGAAGAATAGCTGTTATCCTAGTCTCTGTGGCACCCAAATCAATGGGTTAAATCCTTTGTTCTTGATATTCAGGTTTCCTCAACTTAGTTTTGGTGAAGGACAGGTTGTATACACTGCCATTTTTGTTTTTTAAAGGAAAAACAACTTTCAGTCCTGACTGACCTTCGGGACTGCCGTCAAATGATGCTTTCAGTTGGAACATACGATTAGGTGCTGCTCCTGCTGATCTAAGTAAAATATAAGAAGGGCTGGTTTTTCTCTAGGGTGTGGGTGTGTTAATTCAGCCTGGCATTTCTACCAGTAAGATTTTGGCCCACTGATTTGCTGCCCTTGCTTCTCTGACTTTATCAATATCTGCAGACAGAACAGAAGTACCTGTCTCAAGGCAAAGGGGAAGTAATGGTGAGTTGTTTTCCTTATAATCTGTTTCATGAAGCACAGTATAGGGTTTAATGCATAAAGGAAGAAAAGTAGTATCTTAGTTTGCCGCCAGCATCCAGCTTTAAAGTGGGATTTAGGCACTTGAAGCTATAGCACCCATTTCATTAGAAGTGAACCATATGTATCTAGTTATATATAACTATTAAAAAATGGGGGTGGGAGAAGGAATGATATAACCTCTTGTCTGTCAGTGTTATCTGAGCACTTGACTTCTTTGCAACCTTGGTCACACAACTGAGCCACCTCAAGTACTCTTTAAAATTCAGCCTGCACCCTAGACCTCTGACTCAGAATGGGGCTCTCCAAGGGTAGTATTTAAAAACTCCCAGTAATTCTGATCTGTACCACTGGTATAGTGGAACTACTGACCTGAATCCTAGTCCTGGCTTTTTGATCTTGGATTTCAATATCCTCATCTGTAAAATGAGATTCTTTTTTAGCTGTGGAAGAAGGTCTTTAGTCAGATGACTTTAAATGAATAGACTGCTATGTTGAAAGAGCTTTATCACACTGCCTCAAACACAGATGGACAGTCTTACCTCAGCAGTCTTACAAATAAATAGTTTTCTAGTACCACGAAAGAATACTGATCCTGTTGGTATGCCTGTGGGGTGGGATGTGAGTGGGGCTGATAAACTGATATTTTTGGTTTGTATGTACATAATGGAAGAATCTTTTCATAATAAACTAGAGACTATACAACAATATTGCATGTATTCCAGTCATCTTTGAGTTTCTCATAAAAAATAACTTATTGAAGAGTTAATAAAATACCAAAAACCCTGAGGTAAAAATCCTCAGGGATTAGACCGAAACTAGAATTTTGTATTTTGCAGATGTAGATTTCTTCCTACTGTTTAAGCTCATATATTATTTAACCACTCAGCTAATTCCTTTAATCAAGTTAGAGAGGTAAGATATAATACAAATCAGATTGAGTTTCAGTGCAACCCAGTCTTAATGGTGACTTTTTTTTTTTTTTAATTAATGTCAACCACTCACCTTCTGCATTGAGAATGTTTTTACCTTTTCACAATTGCAGGGGTTACTGAAAGTTAGGTTTTTTTTACTCCTAAGTTTTATTTAT